ATCTTTCTCAACCAAGTATAATACAATATCTTTACATCAGAAGGTAAACAACACGTCATCTTTCTCAACCAAGTATAATACAATATCTTTACATCAGAAGGTAAACAACACGTCATCTTTCTCAACCAAGTATAATACAATATCTTTACATCAGAAGGTAAATAACACGTCATCTTTCTCAACCAAGTATAATACAATATCTTTACATCAGAAGGTAAACAACACGTCATCTTTCTCAACCAAGTATAATACAATATCTTTACATCAGAAGGTAAACAACACGTCATCTTTCTCAACCAAGTATAATACAATATCTTTACATCAGAAGGTAAACAACATTTTATCACCAATATATAAATAACAAGTTATTTTTCTCGGGCAAGTATAACTTTTTCACATCAGAAAATGAATTAGAATGGAAAATTTCTGTTAATCGGGAAAGTTCTTACTTATAAATAAATGTAATGTAATTACTGCCACTTATCCTTTTGTTGAGTGACATTTAACATGACCTCATCTGCAGGTCATAAGTTCCAACCCCTTCACCGAACATACTTGCCCTTTCAGCCATCTAGAAGATATAATGTGGTGGTCAATCCCACTATTAGTTCCTAAAGGAGTAGTCCAAGAGTTGGCTTTAGGTGGTATTGACTAGCTGATTTCCCTCTAATCTATCACTGATAAACAATCTGGAAAAGAAAACCTCTCAGGTTACAAGCATGCATTCAGTATGTATACTAACATGTGACACTCGTCAATGTGTTTCAGATAACATGTTGTGTGGAAATGTTCATGTTTGGTTTCTTGGAGGCAGCGGAACCGTGCGAACAACAATAGAATGGTGTCTCAAAACTATGGCCGCATACCCGGATGTTCAGAAACGAGTGCAAAACGAGATTGACAGTTTTATTGGTAGAGAAAGGTTACCATCCTGGGATGATCATTTACACCTTCCTTACACTCAGGCTGTTCTTTATGAAGCTCAAAGATGGCAGACAATAGTACCGCTCAGTCTCTTAAGATAGTAAGTATTTTCATTATCCTAAAATAATGCTTCAGATTCTTTCATCCACTAACAAATCACTAGATGAAATGAAACAAGAAATAATCACTTAATCTTTCAACTTTCGGAATAAAGTCCTACAGTAATTATAATTCATTGTACCTACGGATAATTTTACAAACAACATAAGTAATTCAATATATTTCGAGTCTATTCCTTTGTGGTTAAAGCAATGTTTCCCAACCACATTGTCTTCCTAATTTCTTCATCAAGCAGCGAGAATCTCGCAATAAAAAATAAATACTCAAAACACGTAAGGTATTTAAATGAAATACGTAAATAATGTTTATTTAGAGATATATATAAGAGAACAGTTGGGGTAACATGTCACCAACTGGTAGACCCACTAATGTAGTTTTCCTCTTTAGATATATATTGTAACGTAGAGTACATGTATTTATTTTACTTTATTAAGTAGGATAGTGTGTTTTATCTTCATAACGATAGTATAGGACATTTTATGTACTCTTCCTTCAGTCTTTAAATACGTTTTGTAATAGCTGAAAACCCGAATAGTGTTAAGGTTAAAACTAAACTCATTATGAACCTATTACATAGTGTGGATTTATTTATCGTAAAGATGTCAGAATACAAATTATTTCTGAAATATTTCATCAAATTGAATCTAACGTTGAATTCATTCATTCTATATTTCTAACTATTGTTTCTGTTGCCCGGTGAAACAATGGTAAGTCTATGGACATGCAAAACTAAAATTCGGTGTTCGATTCTCCGCGGCGAACCTCATAATTTACCAATGACAGACTAGAGAGAAGACAGATAGTCAATACCACCCAAAATCAACATTGGGCTACTCTTTTATGAACGGATAGTGGGATTGATCACCACATTATACTGCTCCCGTGGCTGAAAGGGCGATTATGTTCGTTGAATGGGTTGGAACTCGTGACGTGCGACCTAAGAACTTAATGTTTTATTCTAGTTGTAATTATGACATAGTGACTAAAAGAGGGTTTATCGGTAAAGAAATATTATGTACGTCAAAGTAGATATTGATAATAAGCCATTAAGAACACATCATAATTTAATGTTGCGATACCCGAAAGCTTCCAGTTCATTATTATATATGATCAAACTATAAAACATGTAAACATAATATGTTTTTCTTTAATGTTTTATATCATAAATCCATTTTGGTGAATAAAATATAAGAAATGTACTTTAAGATTCTGTAATGTTAGACACTAATTCTTACACTTACTCCTACCCACAGTAGCCATACTTTTGTTTCTTGTACAGAATAGCCACATGGAGTTAGCTGCTCCTCTTTATTTAAACAAGGGTTTAATTCTTTTATTTGCAGTTTGTATTCATTTTATTCTCTCACAAAAGACCCAAGGTGGGTCAGAGGTAACTTTACGGACTTATAATGCTCAAATCCGTGGTTCGATTTTCCACGAAGGACAGAGCGCAGGTACCTGATTGTGTAGGAAAAAACAAAAACAAGTTTGTGTCTCACAAACATCTTTTCATCTGTACTTTGCTATGATACTAAGTACCTGTCTGTTGGTTTCAGTTTTATCTGCTGATACCAAAGTAAGGCCTCCCAGTGGTACAACGGTATGTCTGCGGACTTACAATGCTAGAAACTGGGTTTCGATACTCGTGATGGACAGAGCACAGATAGCCCATTGTGTAGCTTTGTGCATAACTACAAACAAACAATACAATATATTGTGACAAACACAAGACAAATAATGGTATTTTATGTTTGTTACTGGTCATCAATTTTTGATTTGGTTCGATTTTATTTTAGAATAAACCAAATCGGTCTATCTGTTGTGTCCACTGTGGGGAATAAAATCCTGGATTTTAGCGTTTTATGTTCGTAAGCTTACCGCTGTCCCACCAGGGGAAAATTTGGTTCGGTTTCTTTCGAATTTCACGCAAAGCTAATCGAGAGCTGTTATCTTTATTACACACAAATAAATATAAACATGTTGTTAATAACTGAATCTAGGAGTAAGAGGAATAACTCTTGTCCACCAGACTGGGGATTTCAGGATTGTGTCCATATTACATTGTTAAATCAGACTATTGTTTTAAATCAGAATCCTACTATTTACATCATTGAACATTTTCATTATATATATATTCAAATAATAATGGCCTTAGGAACTAGTAAAAATTAGGAAAACACTTAAATTTAACAAATAGTAATAGTGTTTCCTTGAATTCTATCCCTCTCATTGGTCATGTTCACACGGAAGCACATATCGGTATCAAAACCTAAATATAAGATCGATAATAATTCACGTTTGTATTGATGTGTTCAGTTGTGTCTTGCATTCAGTTATTTCTCTCTTTTAATCAGCATTTGTAGATTGGAAATGCAAATTTATTTATTCGAATATTGTCATCTACTGGCTTCATGACTGATAGCTCAAATTCAGGGTTCATTCCTTGTATATTATGCAACTTTATGTTTATAAATGCTGCATCTCAAAATGTATAATTTCTTAACAGACAAATAATATATCAAATTAAACGTATAAATAAATATATATTAAAATGAGATGCAATTGGTAAAGACAATGACATACTCTGAGTACAAAACTGGTTCAATTTTCAAGTACGAGGGAAGACACGACTGTTCAAGGATACAACATTCCTAAAGGAACAATTGTCATGAACAACATCTGGGCTGTTCACAACGATCCCAAATACTGGAAGAATCCCAGTGAATTCTTTCCAGAACATTTCCTCAGTCAAGACGGTACTACTTTGGTGAAACCGGAATATTTCATTCCATTTACAATCGGTAAGATCAGCCGAATATTTTACTTACTGTTTTATATGGATTTATTTATTACATCAACGCATCTTTCTTTTAAGAAGTTTGTCAATATAAATGTTTTTACAAATATCTGTATCGTTACTTTTAGCTTGTTCTTTTTTTATCATATGTTAGTGCCATTTTTTCTATCAGTTTTCCTTAATGTTCGGACAAGTTCAATATTATTTCACACATCTTGCTCAAATCTAATTAACAGTTATATCAACGTCGATTTTTAAGTTTTCTATAAGTACTCTTGTGTTTATACATAAATTTTAAGTAAACATAACTATGATGGAGTACTTGTTTCGTAGCATATACTGAATTGTAAATATCAATTACATACAAAAAAACTTTTTTCTTTACATAAATATTAATAAAAACGGTATTTTACATTTTTTCTAAACTTATGGCTTTAATATATAAAGACTGCAATATTTTCTTTATTCTTTAACCTTGTATTTTAAGTAAATTATTGTTAACACACTATCATCACTAAATAATTTCATCTTCATGGTGTGTTTTTTTTTTTTTGTCAATTGTAAGTTGTATAGTATAATTAATTCTATTAAAATATAAAATACACGCGCGAGACCTCATTGAACCTTCAAATGTCATATAATATAATATGACATAAATAGAGCTACTTCAGATTTTTACAGATAAGAACTCGTCAGATCATAGCACTGAGAGCCTGTACAGACTGTTTCTTTGAACTAAAAACTGTATAACAATCAGGCTTTAAAACAATTATTATTTTAAGATCAATAAACGTGATCTCCATCTATAAACAGTTCTTCCAAAATCAAATTCTACAAACCTTTCCAAATATTGAAGCTCCTTACCATAATGAGTTGTTACCTGTTGCTATATAGAACCATATTACACTTGTGGTATTCATGTACACTGATTTACAACAGCTAAAATTCTCAATAAGCAGCAGATCCAGAAAAGTTCTTGCAAAGAATAAATCGAACACGAATTACCAAGGAAGAGAAGCAAACGCACGTGAACAGATAAAACAAAATCTTACCACCAGTAATGTCTGTCTTATAAAATCCGACTAGCTGACTTTAATATGCTTGAAAAAATATATATATATAGGACTGAATATGGTAATATTAAAGTAATTTTGTCACATGACAAAAACAATTAACATGAAATCACATTGGAACTGAATGTATCAGAACTACATTTTGACACTATTTAGCACCACGTATGTAGTGTCATGCTGCCGACAATTGATCGCTTTCTATAAGGATGTCTAACAGCTATTTTGCAAAGAATAAACTAAATAAGAACAGCAAAGAAAAAAGCAAACATAGGTGAAAATATATAGAACAAAATATTTAATTACACAAATTTAAGTCTCAGCTACAAAATTGCTGAGTGAAAATTTTACACTTGTCAAAAACATGAAAAGAAGAGTATCACTAATAGTGGTGTTGAACTGTTTAAACCAGACCAACGCTCTAAATTATCCATGTCAACCAACATTATATCATACATTCAACAGTGATAAACTCCTAACAACGTGCTAATTTGTACAAATCTCTGTACCATTTTTCAACCTGAGTACGAACTGTGCCAGAGGGAAGAAATGGTAAAAAAGGTCAAGCAGGTAAAATACTTGAGGGGTGTGACCATTGTAGAATGAGACAGTTGTCTAAGATAGCGGATTAGCACAATTTTAAGACCTTTAAAATCAAATGTAAATTTTTTGAAGTTACCTGGATATACCCAAATAAGTATATATTTTTCTCTAAGTTGGTTGAAGGACATATTTGAGTTCTTTCAACCGCGACTCGCTAAATATCATAAATGAAAAAAATATCAGGTGAAAATTGTTTGTTGCAGAATTTTCTTTCTAAGCTATCTCTTATTTTAAAATGATAGAACAAAGAGAAGCCAGCTTCTATCACCAGCACTTGGTACACTCTTGTCTAAAGTGATAGAACAAAGAGAAACCAGCTTCTATCACCAGCACTTGGTACACTATTGTCTAAAGTGATAGAACAAAGAGAAGCCAGCTTCTATCACCAGCACTTGGTACACTCTTGTCTAAAGTGATAGAACAAAGAGAAGCCAGCTTCTATCACCAGCACTTGGTACACTCTTGTCTAAAGTGATAGAACAAAGAGAAGCCAGCTTTTATCATCAGCACTTGGTACACTCTTGTCGGGAAACTTACAGAACCAGAGAATAGGCATACATGGATTTCAGTATAAAAGTACAAATTATTGACCCTGTATAAAGAATAATATTACATCAATGTATATTTTAGTTACCAACTACTACAAATAACACTCAACTGTAATTATGAATTATGTTACTGTAGAAGCTTGTATATTTATAAACTTAACGAGATAAAAGAATAAGATGATGAAGCTTGGCTTCCCAAGTCAGTTCAAAAATTCCATCAAAGTTTGGTTTTTCACCGGCAGGGAGAGCCACGGTAAAGCGTTGAAGTAGAGACACAAAAAATAGAAACACTTCAACTAGGGCCAACTTCTCACCAGGACAAGAGCGTTTACCTTTTGAAGAACAGTAAACAAATATCAATACTTTTTCTGATACAAAAGTCACACAGTTATGGTAGAATGAGCCAAGATTTAAAGATTCTAGACTAAAATCATTAAAATAAATTAAATTTAGTTTCTTTGTTTGTTCCACAATATTCGACTAAAGTTAGGCATTCTACAATTTTTGGATTAATAGACAAAAGGGAAAACAACTAGTCAATAGTACCAATGGTGAACTTTAAGGCTACTCTTTTAACGCACCTACGGCCTGATGGTTAACGTTCTTGTATTACGGCCTGATGGTTAACGTTCTTATATTACGGCCTGATGGTTAACGTTCTTGTATTATGAATCAGATTGATCGTGGTTCTTTTACTGTTGTAGATAATCACTTTGGGATCTGAAGTTATATTTAAGGGACGATTATGTACTACTACTTGCATTGTTGGTATGTCGCATAATTTTCAAAAGTGCTCATAGTTTTCTGTCAAATAAATATGTTGTATGTCTCACCAATATTGAGTTTTGAACACATTTTTTTAATCACTAAACCCAACACCACTATACACTTATGTTGTCACTTTTGATTCGTTAATTCACTGTACATCGCGATTGTTAAAGTAATAAACGGCTTTTTATGGACTTTTAACTCTAAGCACATTACTTCATTTATATTTGAAATATTTCATTCTTATTTAAAAATACATGAACTATTCCATTGGTCTATCGTTATCTATGAATATATTAACCCTAGCTCAATAACAATTGAAATAAAACTCAAAACTCTTGGTTTATGCCATTTGCTCCCTTTATCTGTCGTTGTCTATTAACATGATAAACCTAGCTCAAGAACAAGTTGAACAAAACCCAAGACTCTTGGTTTACACTAGTGACTAAGGAGGGAGGAGAGTTTGAGGCAAACTCCTCAAGTACTATAATTAACATTAGAAAGATTTTACTTACACGATGTATCTAGTATTAAATATCAAAATAACCATAATAAAAACTGATAATCAATAATTAATATTATTAAAGAATAAAATACACTGGTTGATGCCAACCAGTTTTACAGTAGGTTGTCGGTTGTTCAGAATTAGGTTCCATGTAACAATACTTGGAATGCGCACTAACAAACGTGCTTAGATGGAACTCCACAAAAGAAGTTAAAAAGGCCTGTACTAAACTCCTCTAGAGTGTAAATAAATAGGTAACATATATGAAAACTAATCTGTGTGAAAGTGTTATTCTAAAATGTATATTATTAATTATTCACTGTTTATGTTTTGTATAAAAACAAATTATAAAAATCACGTAGAGTTTGTGGCAAAGTATAAAGTACTATAAGAGGTTATTGGAGGGAGGAGAGCTTGAGGCAAGGTATAAAGTACTATAAGAGGTTATTAGGGTGAGGAACCTCTTATAGTACTTTATACTTTGCCAATAACCTCTTATAGTACTTTATACTTTGCCTCAAGCTCTCCTCCCTCCAATAACCTCTTATAGTACTCTATACTTTGCCACAAACTCTACTCACTCCAGTAACCTCTTATAGTACTTTATACTTTGCCACAAACTCTCCTCCCTCCAATAACGTCTTATAGTACTTTTTACTTTTCCACAAACTCTCCTCCCTCCAATAACCTCTTATAGTATTTTATACTTTGCCTCAAACTCTCCTCCCTCCAATAACCTCTTATAGTACTTTATACTTTGCCTCAAGCTCTCCTCCCTCCAATAACCTCTTATAGTACTTTATACTTTGCCT